TTAGGATTTAGGATTTAGGGTTTGGTTTAGGATTCGTGATCTTCTGGTATCATAAGAACAGGGGACTCCGAGCTCCCTATGCCCCTTTCGGGCTTTAGGGTTTTAGGGTTTTGGGGTTTAGGGCTTTAGGGTTTAGGGCTTTAGGGTTTTAGGGTTTCGGGTGTAAGGGCTTAGGGTTTAAGGTTTAGGGCTTAGGGTTTAAGGTTTAGGGATAAGGGCATAAAGATCAGGGTTTGGACTTCGTAGCCCGGGGGCTCAAGGCTTAAAGCTCTTCTGCACGAGCACAGCCCTTGAAACAGGGGCCGTAGCACAATTGCACGGGGGGATGAAGGGGTCTAAACCCTAAACCATAAACTGCAAGGGTATACAACTTGTTATTATTCCGATCCCCGAAAGTCCGTAAGCAGGGCTAGAATCCGGTAGCTATGGACGTGGCTGCTATAACCCTGATGGAAGTAATGTAGGAGCCTAAATAATTACCTATACTATTTTTGGGGCGTCCTTATTATAACTATGGTATAACATACCCCCAAAGCCCTATTCTAATCATTAAGGCCCCTACATTAACCCCGATGGAAGTAGCTCCTTCTAACCATACTTGCATCTACCCATGAAAGTTCTACTATAGATCCCGAAATCTAAATCCAGCATGTCAAAACGACTCCCAAGACCCGACATCAAACCAGCAGCGTAACACCCAAAGCACATAAAGCGGCAAACGACAACTGAAGCCCTGGACGATTCGTGGCCTTGGGTTTTCGGGTTTAGGCTTTAGGGCTCGATGCCCAAACCTCCCCCGCCAACTACAAACCCTAAACCCTAAGCCCTAAACCCACAAACCCTATCATCCGGTGACGCCTGAACCCTAAACCCTAAGCCCTAAAAAACCGTGCCTAAACCTCTAAACCCTAAACCCTAAACCGTGCCTAAACCCCAAAGGGGCTTCGGAGCTTCGGACGATCCTGCAAGGTACTTGGCGGACCCTGGGACTTAGTAAGTAAGGTTACAAGTCCCCTAATTGGGGTTATAGGTATAGTTACCTTAGTTACCCTAAACCCTAAACCCTAAACCCTAAACCCTAAACCCTAAACCCTAAACCCTAAACCCTAAACCCTACTTATTAAGTCCCATGATCCTTTAGGTAAGCTGTGAGAAACCTCCGGTCGTTCGCATCCCTAAGTCGAGTGTGAAGCCGTCGTTTTAAAACGCCACTGGAACGGTTTAGGGTTTATGAGGGTGTAGGGTTTAGGCACGGATTAGGGTTCAGGATTTAGGGTTTGTGAGCGTGTAGAGTGTAGGGTTTAGACTATCTGAAACTCTATGAAACCGCTTAAAACTCCACTGGAACTACTACCGTGCCCTAAGCCGCCCTCAAACCTGAATAAAGATTTCTAAACCCTACATGTAACTCTCTTTACCTGCAATTTAGCAGCCGTTGCCCTTTAAATATTAGGTAGAACCCAAAAGAAACTGTAGGTAACTAGAGTCCCAGGTAAATCATGTAAGTTCTAAGCCCTAAACCCTAAACCCTAAGCCCTAACCCTAAACCCTAAACCCTGAACTATCCTGCCAGGACGTCATGACGGAGGTGATGATTCGACCACAGAAGATCGAGAACCTGCAGGCAGGCGTAGCAAAGGGGACCTGACACATATCCCAGGTTGCGTTCCTTTAAAAGGGTTTAGGGGGTTTAGGGTTTAGGGTTTAGGGTTTAGGGTCTAGGGTCTAGGGTTTAGGGTTTAGGTTTACGAAAAGGGCTACCATACGAGCTACTCAGGGGTCTAGGGTCTACTAATCAGGCCTTATGAGGAATTTTTGGTTTTGGGCTCCTTTAAAATAGGGGTCCTACAGTAGGTTAGTTTAGGGTTTAGGGTTTAGTATCGGGCTTGTAATTGTAATGAAGTAGAATAGAGGCTCCTTTTAGGGCTGCTTTTTTAGGGTTGCTACAAATGGTTGCCATTAAGGGTGGCCTTAAGAATTAGAGCATAGGATTCGTTTGAAAGGGTTACTACAAGAGTTACTGTAGTAGGGTTTGTAACTAAAGGGGCCTCAAGAATTAGAATTAAGAGTTCCTTCGAAGGGCTCCTTTACAACGTGCAAAAAGGTTCTATATTTGTTCCTATAAGGGTCATAGAATGGGTTCGACTATATGGGAGCCTTAAGAATTAGAGCAGAGGTTTCCTGCAAAGGGCTCCTTTAAGGCTTCTTTCTATAATAAGGATGTGAGGGTTTAAGTTTAGGGGCCTTAAGAATTAGATTACAGATCCTGCAAAAGGGCTACTATAAAGGTTTGTTCAATAGGAAGGAGCCTCAACAAATGGAATGTGGCATTGGGGTATACTAGTGTAGGGGTTTAGGGTTGAGGGTTGAGGCGTCCTCGATTTAGGATTTACGATTCGAAGTTGGCGACTGAGGATTCAGGGAAGCTGCTTACGTAAAGGATCATGGGACCTTATTGCTAGGGTTATACGCAAGGTAACTGTACTTTCAATTGTATCTAAACCCAAATAAGGTACTTATATAACCTACCTTACTAAGTCCCATGATCCTCCAAGTAGGGCTCAGGGATCAGGACTCGGGCTTTGGAGTCTCGAACGCGTCCCCTAAACTCCAAAGTCTAAGCCATTCCTTCCGGGGATGTGGCAGGAGTACGTCGCGAGTGTGCAGGAACAGATGCGCCACTTGGCTGCCCAGGCTTTACCCTAAACCCTAAACCCTAAGCCCTACACCCTAAACCCTAACTTTGTCCCTGGCCATAACTCTAGACCTCAATCAGGCGGCAACCTCTACACTCCGAGCCCGCAGAAGCCTAAGCATCAGTTTTTTGTATGATTTGGGTGGTGCTTGCATTCCTAGAGGCTCCAAATAGTCTCCCATTATGGAATTAGGTCCCAAAAGACCATACCTATTATGGCTTTAGGGACCTAATTCCACGATGGTAGTCTATTTGGAGCCTCTGGGAGTGGCTTTTCAGAGGGTCGGCCGTAGCAGCGAAGCCCCACGAAGGCTCAAGCTTTGTCGGGCATACGAGCCGGAACATGGCTCCGGCGTACGGTTTAGGGTTTAGGGTTTAGGGTTTTTTCGTCGTCCCCTTCCCAGTAGTAGTTAGTAGTCGCAGAAGCAGCGATCATTACCACACGGCCATGAAAAGCTGCTCAGGCAAGATATGGCGGAAGCAGCGTGCCCTAAATTACTAAATCCAAAGCCCTAAACCCCGAACCCTCAGCCCTAAACCCCAAACCCTGAACCCTAAACCCCAAACCCGAAACTCTAAGCCCCAAGCCCTAAACTCTAAGCCCCAAGCCCTAAGCCCTAACCTCTAAGCCCCAAGCCCGAAACTCTAAAACCCTCTCCCCTTTTCAGGACAAGTCTACGCCAGATTTCGAACCAGCAGCCAGAACATGAAGGAGTCCCTGGAGGAAGTGGCACCAGCCCCAGGTCATGATCATGCCTGGGAATTTTGGGGTTTAGGGGTTTAGGGATGTTTTTGGGGTTTAGGGATGTTATGGGTTTAGGGTTTAGGGCTTGGTTTAAGGGTTTTAGGGTTTAGGGTTTAGGGATGTTTTGGGGTTTAGGGTTTAGGGTTTAGGGTTTAGGGTTTTAGGGTTTGGGGTTTAGGGATGTTTTGGGTTCAGGGTTGGGTTTAGGGTTTAGGGTTTGGTTTAGGGTTTAGGGTTTGGTTTAGGGTTTTAGGGATGTTTAGGGTTTAGGGTTTAGGGTTTGGTTTAGGGAATTAGGGTTTAGGGTTTAGGGATGTTTTGGGTTTAGGGTTTAGGGTTTGGTTTAGGGTTTTAGGGTTTAGGGTTTAGGGATGTTTAGGGTTTAGGGGTTCAGGGTTTAGGGTTTAGGGATGTTTTGGGTTTTGGGTTTAGTATGTAGGGGTTTGTGTTTGCGGTTTCGAGATTGAAGGGAGGGGGTGGGGAGTGGATCTTAATGGTACAAATAGAAAAAGGGCATGTTCCTCGACTTGTGAGGCCTTTTTATGCTTATTTTCACGTCTATTCCTGAAGTAGGGCTTAACTTGGGCTCTCTGCGGACGGCGGTGAGTAGTAGTCGCAAGATCCTCGGTGCGTGCATCCCTGGTCCAGTGCTGCATTCCGTATTGTCAGCGTTCCTGTTTGTACTTAAAGGATCCTGGGACTTAGTAAGTAGGGCTATAATCAATGTAACTATACATCTATTTCCTTATAACCCCACTTAAGGGACTTATAACCTTACTTACTAAGCTCTATGATCCTCCAAGTAGCAGCCGTGGCATTTCCCGCAGTCTTGTTTGTACTTGAAGGTTCACGGGTAGTTATAAGTGGAGTTATAAGCAAGGTAATTATAATTATAACCCATGTCAGGGGACTTATAACTCCACTTATTACTTATAACTGCCCATGAACCTCCAAGTAGCGCCTTCTGGATCCCTTAAAGGCCGTATAAAAACCCTAAACCCTAAACCCTAAACCTTAAAGCCCTAAACCCTAAACCCTAAAACCCTAAGCCCTTTAAAGGATCCTTGTAGCAGCTGCGGCCTTTCTATGAGGATGCTGCGACCCTTCTGGCCAACATCGAGGCGCCGGGGGTGCAACTGTGAAGTCTGCTCAGCTTGCTCGGTCTTAACCCCTTTGAACCCTACAAAACCCTACAAAACCCTGCAAAACCCTAGAAAACCCTACAAAACCCTAGAAAACCCTACAAAGCCCTACAAAACCCTAAACCCTACAAGCCCCAATCAAAGTCCTAACCCCCATCGACACCACGACTGTTGAAGTCCCAAGGCGAGATTTCTAGTCGAGTGGAGTCCCGGATGCTACTAGCCCGAAATTTGGCTAAGCCCCAACCGATATAAACCTTCAAAATAACACTCAAGATCCCTTAAAGGACCCCTTAAAGGATCCCTTCAAGTAACTTCATAGGAACCCCTCAGATCCCTTACTTACAAGATCCTGGGACGTAGTAAGTAGGGTTATAATTAAGGTAACTGTACTTATATATATTTACTTATACCCCCAATAAGGGACTGATAACCTTACTTACTACGGTTGATGATATAAATCCTGCATTACCCATAATAAGGAATATACCATAATTCCCATAGTTTAGGGTCCTTAAGGTAATGCAGGATTTATACCATCAACAGTAAGTCCCATGATCCTGTAAGTGCACTGCACAGAATCCCCTAGTCCAATCATCAAAGGCCCCAAGCAGAAGTTCATCTGCCGAAGCCCAGGACAAGCCTTCAAACATGAGCTGCGTGCCCTTCCGGGACTGTGGCTGGATTGCAGTGCTTAGGCTTTGGGGTTTAGGGGGACCGTAAGCCCTAAACCCTAAACCCTAAACCCTAAACTGTGCCTGGATTGCAGTTTAGCGTTTCGGGTGCGTTCTAGGCCTGGACCTAATTAGTTACATTCCAGGTGATGAGGGATCTCAGATTGATTGGTTGATAGATAGATAGATAGATAGATAGATAAATAGATAGATAAATAGATAGATAGATAGATAGATAGATAGATAGATAGACAGACAAATAGTTAGATAGATTGATGAAAAGTAAGACAGATAGATAGATAGGTAGGTAGATACAGATAGATAGGTGGATAGATAGAGATAGCTAGATAGCCAGATAGCCAGATGGCTGGATAGCTAGATAGGTAGAGAGGTAGAGAGGTAGATAGATAGATAGATAGATAGATAGATAGATGGATGGATGGATGCATGGATGGATGGATAGAGATAGCTAGATAGCCAGATAGCTACATAGCTAGACAGGTAGAGAGATAGATGGATAGAGAGATAGATAGGCACATGTATTCCGTATGATCACATAATCACAAGCATACACTCTTACATACATATCTTGCTTGTGTGTGTAGTTACGCAGGCCTCTGACGCGCGGGACCATATCTTAAGGCCCATATTTTCAATCCGGAAGCAACGTTTCCATTAACCCTGTTTCAAGCATTCAGGCCCCCATCCTAGGGTTGTGGGTCGATCTCGTGTGGGTTCTGCCCTATACTCTCTTATGGAACCCTAAACCTTAAACCCCCTGAAAGAACCTAGGGTTTAGGGTTTAGGGTTTAGGGTTTAGGGTTTAGGTTGTACAGCCCTGATGGACCCCAACACCCCTTTTCGCCGCCGAGGTCTCTCCCAGGAGCAGATGGAAGAGCTCAAGAGCTTTCTGAGCAAAGTTGACACAGCGAGGATTGCAGTCACCCTGAAAGTGGGGAGGGGTCAGGGCTCATTTGGGGATCCATAAAGGCTTCTATGATGAGGGTTTTGGGATCATGGGCGTGGTGTAGAGGTCTTAGTGATTTGAACAGGCTGTAGTAGCCTTATAAATCCTGAACCCTAAACCTTAACCCGAGCTACGTAGGCTTTCCAGGGTTTACAAAATCTGGTTCTTCAGACTTCCCTGCCTTACGCCTTGAAGGGTTCCTTCAAGGGCTCCTTCCGGGATGCGCTGGTTTGGGGTTTAGGGCTCAGAGCTCAGGATGTAAGATTTTACTGCGTGCTAGTTCTTGGGAATGTGGTCTGCGGTCTAGGGGTGATAAACCCCCGAAAGCCTAGTCTGGCTTTTTGAGGCCCTGATCCGCTCTCTGGTCCTGCATAGATATAGTATAGTATACCCACAGAGCCATTCTAACTAGGGTGGATGGTTTAGGGTCCTGCTCGCTTCTCGCCCCCTGTACTTAAAGGATCATGGGGACATAGTAAGTGGGGTTATAACTAAGGTAACTATACTTATAACCCCAATTAGGGGACTTAGAACCTTACTTACTGAGTCCCAGGATCCGCCAAGTATGACATGGTTCATCCCCAGAGCCTTACGATACGAAGTACTTGGAGGTTCATGGGTAGATATAAGTGGGGTTATAAGTAGGGTAACTATATTTATAACCCATATTAGGGGACTTATAACCCTACTTATAACTGCCCATGAGCCTCCAAGTAGAGCAGGGTTTGCTGCGGGACATATTCCAGCGCAGCATCAGCACATCGGAGAGAGGCGACGAAGAGGGTGGCTGGCACCCTTCTTGCGGTGACGCCCAGAGGGCCTACTTAAAGGATCATGGGACTTAGTAAGTAGCGTTATATCTAAGATAACTATACTTATAAGCCCAGTTAGGGGACTTATAACCTTACTTACAGAGTCCCATGATCCTCCAAGTAGTTCCCGCGAGTTTAGGAATACCTACACAGGAGGGAGAGCCAAACTCTTCAAGGTTACTTGTACCGTGAGCCCTCAGCCCTCAAACCTAGGCCCTAATCCCTAAACCCTTGACGGTATAACTAAACCCTAAACCCTAATCCCTAAACCCTATAATCCCTAAACCCTATAATCCCTAGACCCTAGACGGTAAAATTTATAAGGGGCATTGGGCCCTGTGGGCACTTCGCTTCCCCCGGTGGTCCAAAGCCCAAATCCTACCTGTAAGGGTTCCTGTACTTAAAGGATCATGGGACTTAGTACGTAGGGTTATAACTAAGGTAGCTATACTTATGACCCCAGTTAGGGGACTTAGAACCTTACTTACTAAGTCCCATGATCCTCCAAGTAAGGCTGCCTTTAAGGGTTGCCCGCAGAGTTGTGTTAAGGGTTCCCTTAAAGGTTCTTTAAAGGGTTCCTTTAAAGGGTTCCCTGATGGGTTGCTTGAAGGGGTCCTTTAAAGGTTCTTTAAAGGGGTTCCTTTAAACTTTAATTAAGGGTTTCTGCGAGGGATCCTCCAAGGGTCCCTTTAGGGTTTAGGTTTGGGGCTTGAGGTGGTCCCATACCTTTAGACAAAACCCTACATTCTATATACCTACGTCTTAAACCCGCAACCCTAAACCCTAATAGTAGCAAGAATGAGAGTATTAAGCATGATAATGGTTTCAACCATGAGCCCTCACCCGAAGATCCCCAGAGGATGTGGGCACACAATGCGTTTGGCCAGCAATACGTGCTCGGCTGGGCCGCTGGTCATGAGTTCAGGCCGGACAGAAGGGTGGGGTTTCGGGCTTAGGGTTTAGGGTTCGGGGTTAAGGGTTTACTAAACCCTAAGAGGGTTTAGGGCAGGGTTAGGGTTAAGGCGTAAGAGTTTAAGTTAGGGTTTAGAGTGTAAGGTTTAAGGGTTGCGGGTTTGAAGCTCATAGACATTCTCTACGGCTTTCTGGGCCGATACACGCTCATGCCCGGAAGCTTTCCTTCTGAATGTTCCCGTAGTAAATCACGGTCCTGCTTGCCCGGCGTGTCTCTGCTTTCTTGATAACGACCCTACGGCTCACCATAGGCCTTATAAGCCCTGAAGCCTATAAACCCTGAACCCTGAAACCCCAATGTAAGTCCTGAGATCCTGTGGTACTTAGGTGAGGCTTTAACACCCTGAGCCCCCCTCGCCTAGAGGCTTCCTTGCTCGACCATGGCCCCTTTGCAATGCCTGGCGGGCATGCTGAGGATAAGGGTTTCGCCCGACAGGCGCATGTACGTAGATTTACAAGTGGTCTACTTGCACGGCCCCATCCCTTTGAAGCACATCTTAACCTTATAAACGCTAAACCCTAAACCCTAAACCCTTCTTAACCTACAAAATTCCTAGCATCGATTCGTTGTGGCAGGCTGTCGATCCTCAGCGAGGATGGCCCCACGAGGCATTTCGTGAGCACGATGTCGAGACCTGAAGTCTTCACGAGGCACACTTCTTGTTGACAGCGGCTCGCTTGAATGGTGGGCCTAGGGTTTAGGGTTTACTTGGAGGTTCATGGGTAGTTATAAGTGGGGTTAAAAGTAGGGTAACTAGAGTTATAACCCATATTAGGGGACTTATAACCCTACTTATAACTAGCCATGAATCTCCAAGTCAGGAGTACTTTAAAGCCTAAACCCTAAACCCTAAACCAGAACCACCCGTGAACCTCCAAGTAGGGTTTAGGGCTTGGGAGGGAGGTGACCGGGGGAGGGGAGACGGGGGGTAGCCCGGCCCCTGGCCCTGAAACCCGAGAGCCCCGAAGCAGTGAACCCATGAACCCGCGAGCCCAAAACCAAGGCACACAGCTTGTGGATTTAGGGTTTAGGGTTTAGGGTTCAGGGTTTAGTGTTTCCGACCCTATTTTTTTACCAGCTTTTTTTGCCAGAAAGAGTCACGGAGCTCTCTTCAATCGCCGGAAACCCTCGTCCAGACGTAGTACAACCCCCACACGCAGCCTTCCAATCTAGGCCAGGGGCCTGATTGATTCGAGCTCCCTAAACATAGATGACACTAAAAGATAGCCCCTAAACCCTAAGACCCTAAACCCCTAAACCCTAAACCCTAAACCCTAAACCCTGAACACCTAAACCTTAAACCCTGGAATCATAAACCCCAAATCTTAAAAGATAGCAAAGACCCTGCCAGGGCTCAGGGCTCATAACCCTCAGCCCTAGAGCGTGAAGCCCTTAAGTACTATAGGGGCCTCAATAATTATCTATAATATTAGTTTGGGGCTTCCTTATGATAATTTATACTCTAAAGGACCCCAGAGCCCCTTCTAATTATTAAGTCCCCTAAACCCTAAACCTTATAGTAGCCCTTATAGAACCCTTTAAGGATCCCTTAAAAAGGAACCCGCAGAACCCTCGTCTAACTATTAAGGCCCCTACAGTAGCCCGTGGGCTTACCGGTGACTCCCAAGTGATAGGAGCAGCTGAATTTGCAATGCAGTGTGTTCAGAGGGTAGTAGGGGTACCTGCAGAATCGTTTAGGGTTTAGAGTTTAGGATTGTGCATTTAGAATCTAAAGGTACCCCTACTAACCTCTGAACACACTGTATTGCAAGCTCAGCTGCTCGTTTAGAATCGTTTAGGCTTGAGGGTTTAGGGGCATGCAAGCCGGAACTTCAGAAACAGTGACAACCCAGGTGGGTGGTTGTCAAAATTAGGGTCCCTTTTTGGGGTTCTTATTATAATACGGCACCTATTATTTAGGGTACCCTAAACCCTAAACCCTAAACCGGAACTCCAGAAGCAGTGACAACCCAGGTGGCTGCACCTCATCTTGTCGTGATCCGAACCGTGCCAACGCAGCGGACTGGACTCTCCGAGACTTGCTTTATCAACCAAGCCTTTGCAGGGTTTAGGGTTTAGGGTTTAGGGTTTAGGAGTTTAGGGTTTAGGGTTTAAGGTTTAGGGTCCTTTGCAGTTGATGATCGGGAAAAGAAGATGGGATGAAAGTAGCTGGAGGTATTGCAAAGGGGAGACCTTAAACTTACACAACCCTATACCTGAGACCCAACCTATATTGGCAATGGATCCTTAATCTTGGGGCACCTGCATTTGAGAGCCCCGATACTAAAGGAGCCCTTCAAGGAATCACTATAAAGGAGCCCTGGAAGGAACCCATACAGGAGCCCTTAATTGTGGTATCGTTTCCTCTTTCCAGAAGAGCAGTATCAGGGTTAAGGGTGCGGGCTCTGGGACATGTAGGTTTTCTGGTATCAAAAGACATTACTTAAAGGATCATGGGACTTAGTAAGTAGGGTTATATCTAAGGTAACTATACTTATATTTACTTATAACCCCAATTAAGGGACTTACAACCTTACTTGCTTAGTCCCATGATCCTCCAAGTACAGAGGAGTCTAATTACAATTGGAAACAAAGCAAGGGCTTCTATATTTTCAAGCAGGCTCAGAAAATGAGCCTCGCGGCTGAATGACAGCCATCATGTGAGGGGCGTCCTCTAAGTTTCAAACGTTCTGGTTCCGAAATAGGAGAGTAACACCTTCCGTTGCACCTCCGATACAGTACCCTGGCTTAGAGAACTGCCCATGTTCGTTGGAGCACGAAGCATGCTTTCAAGACGACAGCATGCGCAGCCGGTTTTCTGAAATGCGCGTCTGTTGTAGCCATGTGTTGGCGGGTTCAGCGGATCCCAAGCCACCGTAGGATTTGGAACCAAGCCTAGTAACTAGGTGACAAGTAGGGGTAGAGCTAGACTAGCTTCACTGGGCTAGATACGGCTCTAATTATCAGCCAATCGAGCAGCCTGAATGCTACAACGATTATTCGTTCGGCTTTGTATGTTGTTTATACTAACTAACCATAATACCAAAGCGGTGTTCTAGTTGGCAAAGGCCCCGCCCCATATTACTGCCAAAGACACTAGAGCTTCAGGGACAATCCTGAAAGCTGCTACTCCCAACGGTCGATGATTATAACTCCTGTATTACCCATAGTAAGGAAGATACCGGTTTTAGGGTTTAGGGGTTAGGGGTTTAGGGGTTTAGGGGTTTAGGGGCTTTGGGTTTAGGACTTAGGGTATTACCAATAATAAGGAAGATACCACAATTCCCATAGTTTAGGCGCCCATAAGGTAATGCAGGATTTATAGATCATCAACAGTACCTCTACCTGGTCCGCGAGTTCCTGCCTTGCTTTGAGGACCTATGTCAAGGAAGTCATACGAAGGGGCTTAGGGTTTAGGGTTTAGGGCCTAGAAAGGTAGGTTGTTGAGGGTTCAGGGAATGCGGGAATGCCCGGGCCCTATAAACCTGGACATAGACGTCAGTAAATAAACAAGCGCATGCCCTGGCAGTCTTTTACATATGTATATATATATATATATATGCATGCAACTAGAACTATATATACTAGACACTGGTATAAGGCCGCCCCACGCACTCAACAACCCTCGAGTGCCCGCGCATCTACGGGAGACCGCCGTTTTAAAGAGGCTTTTGCCTCACATCTGATGCCCAGGGTGATGCTGTGCAATGCCTGCCAGTCTAATTCTTGCTTCGGACGCGGTTTTGCACTCTTGTTATCTATAGTGTATGAATATATACATATATATATATATACATACACACACATTCACATACCAATATACACCCACCAAGGGACTTACAATATTTTGAGTGTTGGGTCCAAGTGGTTCGGCAAGTCGAGTCTATGCTTTGAGATGTGGAGTTTCGGGTTGAGGCGTTAGTAAAGCTTGCACCCTGAGCTAAACCCAACACCTGCCCATTAGAGAACACCCTTGTAGTACTCTAACAGGGAGCTGAAGCTGCTTACTAACCCTAAACCCCCAGACACTAGCAGCCCTACACCCCAAACTCTAAACCCTAAACCTTAAACCCTAACGCTAAACCCTGAGCCCTCATGAAGCATCAAGCCGAAGCCCCTATTCCATTTACCCTACCTGTAGCCGAAAAGACCTACCTTTAAGGGGTTTCTTATGGTTTCTATATATATATATATAGATATATATATATATATATATAGTTCCTTAAACATGTAGGTCTTTTGGGCCACAGGTAAACTCTAAACCCCTGAGACACCAGACCTGAGCCCCTTACTCCCATGAAACCCTAAATCCAAAACCCTAAACCCTAAACCCTAAACCCTAAAACCTAAACCCTAAATCCAAAACCCTGACCCTCTGAGTCGGCAGACAGCGGAGCACCACTCCAAGGCGACTTCGGGGAGGAGTCAGAGAAACTTTGCGGTTTAGGGCTGTAGGGTTTAGGGTTTTTATGGCTTTAGAGGGTTTAGGGTCTTAGGGTTTAGGGTTTAGGGTTAGGTTCTTTAGGGTTTAGGGTCTAGTTTCCTCTCAGGTTTCCTACAAGGGTTACTGTACAGTTCGTTTAAAGGTTCCTTCAAGGTCCCCCTTGAGGTTTCTCAGAGGGTCCAAGTACCCAAATAGTCTTCCAGATACTGAAATCCGTGCAAAGTATGGAACTCGGCACCTAAAGTGCTTGGACTCTCTTGGGTTTTTGCCCTTAAGGTAGAGCGCTGCCCGGGATCTGATAGGATTAGGGGATCTACATTCTGGGTTTAGGATTTAAGCGTACGGTTTGGAATGATTTGGGATTTCGGGTTTAAGGTTTAGGGCTTCAGGAGCTTAGAACTGGAGTTTCACGGGCTTATAGTTGGTAGCGCATTAATTTTATGTTATGGCTTTGGCGTTTTAGGATAGTGAGGTTTACGGCTACGGTTGCTTTTACCGGATTCTCCCAACATGGAGTGGGCCTCAGAGTAAGGAATCTGAAGGCCTCGCGTGGTTCAAGCGCCGCTAAAAGCTTCAATCTAACCCTAAACCCTAAACCCTCAACCCTAAACCCTAAACCCTAAACCTAAATTATTGCGATCCACCCCCGAATTAACGAGGTGACCCGAAATAACGAAATCGAGGGTCAGCACATGAGGAGGGCTTTTTTAGGCTTTTAGGAAAGGCTTTCTTTGCAGGGCTCTCGGAAAGCTCTAAACCCTCAACCCTAAACCCTCGGTTTAGGGTTTAGGGTTTAGGGTTTAGGGCTAATAGCGAATGCTTAGTAATATTTAGGGTTCCTCAACAAATCTACTCCAAATCCCAGTCGAAGTAAGCAGGCACCTTTTTTCTTTCGATATGATTGAGCAGTGGGGTCTGGGGAAGATGCGTTTGGTCTGTGATCGTTGATTGTTGTAGCAAGTAGGTTTTGTTTAGGGTTTCGGGGTGTAGAACTGGGTCTAGGGTTTCGGGCTCAGGGCTTTATCAGGGCTTCTACGGCTCCGGAGAAGCCACCTGCCATAGATCAAGCGACGCTGCTGTTTTTTGAAACCTCCCCGATGCGTTTCACAGACAAGCACAATCAGTGCTGCTTCCTCGGACGTCGGAGGATGCAGGAGAACCCCCGAACCCGAAGTAATGCGAGGGCCTTAATAATTTGAACAGGGGTTTCGGGTATAGTCAA